CTGGGACAAGCCAAGGGGATTCCACAGAGATGGGTCAGGGACAGGTTTGCTCCATCAGAGACCCCAGAGTCTAAAAAGACTGAGGGTATGTGTACACTGTAAATAAAGTCTTGCGGCAGGGAATCTGATAGCACAGGACAATTGACCTGGGGTGGAAGCTAAAATAGAAATGTAGATAGTTTGGTTTAGGTTGGACCCCGGGCTCTAAATCCTGGCAAGGGGGAAGGAGCTCAGACCCCATGCTTCAGCCCCAGCATTTACGTTGCTATTTTTAGCCCTGCACCCCAGCCTCCCCCATGACCTGGAGTCAGCTGCCACATGCCCTGAGACTCATTGTATTGTTTTGTTTGTGGTGGTGGTGGTGTTTTTTTGCAGTGTAGACATACCCTGAATAATGTAAAATTCCTTCCATTTGGGAGGAGAACTACTACACTGAGTAATTACCATAGATGAGGTATAGAAGAGAGAAAAAGTCTGGAGCACTGGGCCTGGTGCAAGATCTGAGGCCTGAACCAGAGGCTGTGAACCAAAGTCAGGCCATGTGTTATGGAATACGGACTCTGGACTTCAGACAAGCAGACTTTGACTCCCTCAGGGAACTGATGGGCAGGATCTCCTGGGAGAATAACATGATGTGTAGAAAGAATAGTAAATATGGCAGGCGACCAGCTTGGCTTAACTGTGAAATCCTTGCTAATCTTAAACACAAAAAAGAAGCTTATAAGAAGTGGATGATTGGACAAATGACCAGGGAAGAATATAAAAATATTGCTCGGGCATGCAGGAGTGAAATCAGGAAGGCCAAATCACACTTGGAGTTGCAGCTAGCAAGAGATGTTAAGAGTAACAAGCAGGGTTTCTACAGGTATGTTAGCAACAAGAAGAAGGTCAAGGAAAGTGTGGGGCCCTTACTGAATGAGGGAGGCAACCTAGTGACAGAGGATGTGGAAAAAACTATGTACTTAATGCTTTTTTTGCCTCTGTCTTCACGAACAGACTACTGCACTGGGAAGCACAGTATGGGGAGGAGGTGACTAGCCTTCTGTGGAGAAAGAAGTGGTTCAGGACTATTTAGAAAAGCTGGACAAGCACAAGTCAATGGGGCCAGATGTTCTGCATCCGAGGGTGCTAAAGGAGTTGGCGGATGTGATTGCAGAGCCGTTGGTCACTATCTTTGAAAACTCATGGTGATCCGGGGAAGTCCCGGACGACTGGAAAAAGGCTATTGTAGTGCCCATCTTTAAAAAAGGGAAGAAGGATGATCTGGGGAACTACAGGCCAGTCAGCCTCACCTCCGTCCCTGGAAAAATCATCCTCAAGGTCCTCAAGGAATCAATTTTGAAGCACTTAAAGGAGAGGAAAGTGATCAGGAACAGTCAGCATGGATTCACCAAGGGCAAGTCATGCCTGACTAACCTAATTGCCTTCTGTGATGAGATAACTGGCTTTGTGGATGAGGGGAAAGCAGTGGATGTGTTATTCCTAGACTTTAGCAAAGCTTTTGATACCGTCTCCCACAGTATTCTTGCCAGCAAGTTAAAGAAGTATGGGCTGGATGAATGGACTATAAGGTGGATAGAAAGCTGGCTAGATCGTTGGGCTCAATGGGTAGTGATCAATGATTCCATGTCTAGTTGGCAGTCCATATCAAGTGGAGTGCCCCAAGGGTGGGTCCTGGGGCCGGTTTTGTTCAGTATCTTCATAAATGATCTGGAGGATGGTGTGGATTGCACCCTCAGCAAGTTTGCAGTTGACACTAAACTGGGAGGAGTAGTAGACATGCTGGAGGGCAGGGATAGGATACAGAGGGCCCTAGACAAATTAGAGGATTGGGCCAAAAGAAATCTGATGAGGTTCAACAAGGACAAGTGCAGAGTCCTGCACTTAGGATGGAAGAATCCCATGCACCACTACAGACTTGGGACTGAGTGGCTAGGCAGCAGTTCTGCAGAAAAGGACCCAGTGGACGAGAAGCTGGATATGAGTCAGCAGTGTGTCCTTGTTGCCAAGAAGGCTAACGGCATTTTCGGCTGTATAAGCAGGAGCATTGCCATCAGATTGAGGGATGTGATTGTTCCCCACTATTCAGCATTGGTGAGGCCCCATCTGGAGTACCGTGTCCAGTTTTGGGCCCCACACTACAAGAACGATGTGGAAAAATTGGAAAGAGTCCAGCGGAGGGCAACAAAAATGATCAGGGTGCTGGAGCACATGACTTATGAGGAGAGGCTGAGGGAACTGGGATTGTTTAGTCTGCAGAAAAGAAGAATGAGGAGGGATTTGATAGCTGCTTTCAACTACCTGAAAGGGGGCTCCAAAGAGGATGGATCTAGACTGTTCTCAGTGGTAGCAAATGATAGAACAAGGAGTAATGGTCTCAAGTTTCAGTGGGGGAGATTTAGGTTGGATATTAGGAAAAACTTTTTCACTAGGAGGTGTGGTGAAGCACTGGAATGGGTTACCTAGGGAAGTGGTGGAATCTCCTTCCTTTGAGGTTTTTAAGGTCTGGCTTGATAAAGCCCTGGCTGGGATGATTTATTTGGGGATTGGTCCTGCCTTGAGCAGGGGGTTGGACTAGATGACCTCCTGAGGTCCCTTCCAACCCTGATATTCTATGATTCTGTGATTAAACCAGATGTTCACAAGTTCACTGCCTAGTATGTGAACTTGACAAAGTAGTTGCTAGTGTACCAGGCACTAGAGATATACATAAATATATCCCAGGGTCCAAAAGGCTGTGGAAGCTGTGTGAGTCGGGGTGTGTGAATACAGGGCGGGTACATATGTAGGGGCTGTAGGCTGGGTGTCTATTAGGGCCCAGGGTTCTGAGCTATCTGATGGGTTGGGATGTGTGTCTAGGATGTGCGGGGTTCTTTTAGGGGCAGAGCGGGGGGGGACAGGGAATGTATGGTTTGGCAGAGGGACACGGGCTGCGAGGGGCCCTGGAGCTTTTACTGTACTTGGATTTAATCTTGATTTTTGCTGCCTGTCAAATGCTGGTTTTGTGCTTTATTGGAAGTGCTTTATTAACTTTGTGCTTTTTTTGATTTTGTGTTAATTGGCAGTTTGTTTAGTTAAGAGCCAAATTGCTTTTGTTATTTTAACAAAGACTGTGGCTCACTCAGATGCACAACAGTCACAGGAAGAGTGACCCGCCCTTCTTCGCCCAAAAAATGCTTTAAAAATGTTTCCAATATTTTAATTGTATTTATTTGATTGGGTTTTGATTGGACTGGGATGTAAATAGGAGCTTGATTGGCTAGGGAAAATGGTGTACTCAGTTTTGGTCAGCTGTTTATTTTCCTTTAAATAGTAGTGTGTATCTGCTGTTGTTTCATTTTGTTTGCATGTGCAAATGGCTAAATTTAAAATATAATACAGTCCATCCCCCAATATAAAGTATTTAGCTATTAGTATTTAACCAGTATTTTCTCTAGAAGTTTGCACTTGTTTATTGTTATTATCGTTAATATTAATCATATTACTAGTTTATTTATTAGCTTGGTTTTTTTCCCTCTTGAGTTCCTGTGAATAAATGTTGCACCAGTGAGCTGCCATAGATGAAGTTTAAAACCGATCTGTCTGTATAGATTTTTATTCTCCTTTTGAGGATAACAGAGATTGTTACGAATTACACCTGAGAGGACACGCACACAACTGCTGAGAATTATACCTTGTAGGACACGCACACAAATGCTACGAATTACACCTGGTAGGACACGCACACCAATGCTGCGAGTTATACCTGATAGGTCACGCACAGTTCGAATCTAGGCTGAGGCACATAAACAAAGTCCACAACTGCAGAGTTCCCAAAGACACTAAGTTTATTACGCTCGAGCGTGGTGCCCCCCTGCTAGCCAGGAGGGGACCCTGAATACCGATTATACAAAGGTTATATACTTTTTAGCAAAGCATGTTGCCCTCGTGCATCAGAAACCTTAGCCAATAAACAAACCCTTGTCTTATCTACCACCTATCCCTGCTTGGTGCATTCCTCGTGCTATACCAGTATGTTAATTACACAGCATGGTCCTAAAGCCATGCATCAGTAACCTTTATTATCAGGATGGGAGTCCTCACATCAAGGCCAAGAGACAGGGAGTTAGAGACTGACAAAAACCAGATACTGGGAGTCAAGGCAGGCTGGAGACAAGGAGGAGGATTTTCACAGGGATTCAGTATCTAATGATCACTCCTCCTGGTGTATGATGTGCTGGCATTTAGACAATTGCCCAAACCAAAATGGAATCACATGTGCTAACTTTTCCTTAACAAGATGAAGCACACATTTAAGTGCATATTGTTTTACAAAAGTCAGTAGTTGTGCCCACAAAAGGTATAGCGCAGTCCCTGCCCAATTTCCTGTCTAGCCCACCTTAGCCCCCCCACTGGGAAGAGGCTGGAGCCACCCCTGAGGCCTACGGGGCACCTGATAACAGTTTTTCAATATAAAAAGGATGGTGATCTATTGTTTGTCATGTCCACTAAAGGCAAGAGAAGAGGCAATCAGATTAGCAAGGGAGATTTAGGTTAGAAAAAATCTTCCTAACTGTAGGGATAGTAAAACACGGGAACAGGTTACCTAGGGAGGCTGTGGAATCCCTGTCATTAGAGGTTTTTGAGAACATTTAAGTCAAATCCCTGTCAGGGATGGTCTAGGAGGTTGTACTTGGTCCTGTCTCAGCACAGGGGGATGGACTATATGACCTCTCGAGGTCTCTTCCATCCCTACATTTCTAGGATTCTATGTAAATCAGGAAAACCACAAGGAGTCTGGTGGCACCTTAAAGACTAACAGATATATTTGAGCATAAGCTTTCAAGAGTAAAAACCTCACTTCTTCAGATGCAAATCAGGAACTCCTCAGCTGTGCTCTGTAGAGAGGTGACTGGTCACCTGGTGCCAACTCTCCTCTTTGTTTCTAGATTCATTAAATCATACTTACAGGTGGCTAAAAATATGTGAAATATGTTATTTACATTTCTTCTGCAGCCTGGCAATTGCTCTGGTCACCACGGTGGTGTTGGAAGGAACCTGTTCCAAGGAACAGTCTCTGCGGGGTTGTCCACACTAGGAGGTATGTTCTCTCTTACTGTAAAATTCTTGTGTAGACAAGGCAAGTGGCCATTTCACCTCAGTGTAACTTGTTCAAAGGAATTATATGGGATGAGGTTTGGGAAGGGAGTGTTTGTGGTCACCACAATGAGCAACCCTGAGGGGAAGCTACGCCTTCCCTCATCTCCACAAGGATTGCACAGTGAGATCACTCGCTCGTGTTCACTGTCACATTGTAGAAATCCCACCCTTTCTCCTAGTGTGAACACAGACTAAACAATGAGCCCTGGTCTATACTACGAGTTTAGGTCGAAGTTAGCAATGTTAGATCAATTTAACCCTGCACCCGTCCACACAATGAAGCCATTTTTGTCGACCTAATGGGCTCTTAAAATCTATTTATGTACTCATAGATTCATAGATATTTAGGTCAGAAGGGACCATTATGATCATCTAGTCTGACCTCCTGCACAACGCAGGCCACAGAATTTCACCCACCACTCCTACAAAAAAAAACCTCACACCTATATCTGTGCTATTGAAGTCCTCAAATCATAGTTTAAAGACTTCAAGGAGCAGAGAATCCTCCAGCAAGTGAGCCGTGCCCCATGCTACAGAGGAAGGCGAAAAACCTCCAGGGCCTTCCAATCTGCCCTGGAGGAAAATTCCTTCCCGACCCCAAATATGGCGATCAGCTAAACCCTGAGCATATGGGCAAGATTCATCAGCCAGATACTACAGAAAATTTTTTCCTGGGTAACTCAGATCTTACCCCATCTAATAACCCATCACAGGCCATTGGGCCTATTTACCATGAATATTTAATTATCAAAACCATGTTATCCCATCATATCATCCGATGAGGGGATTAGTGCTGAAATCGACATTGCTGGGTCAAATTTGGGTTAGTGTGGACGCAATTCGACGGTATTGGCCTCCGGGAGAAATATCACAGTGCTCCATTGCGACCGCTTTGGACAGCACTCTCAACTCGGATGCACTGGCCAGGTACTCAGGAAAAGCCCCACAAACTTTTGAATTTCATTTCCTATTTGGCCACTGTGGCGTGACCATGCAGAGCTCATCAGCAGAGATGACCATGGAGTCCCAGAATTGCAAAAGAGCTCCAGCATGGACTGAACGGGAGGTACTGGATCTAATCACTGTCTGGGGAGATGAATCCGTGCTATCAGAACTCCATTCCAAAAGATGAAATGCCAAATATTTGAAAAAATCTCCAAGAGCATGATGGACAGAGGTTACAACAGGGACCTGCAGCAGTGCCGGGTGAAAATTAAGGAGCTCAGACAAACCTACCAAAAAAAACAAAGAGGCAAACAGCCACTCCGGTTCAGACCCACAGACATGCCGCTTCTATGATGAGCAGCATGCAATTCTAGGGGGTGCCTCTTCCACTACCCCACCCCTGTTCGTGGACTCTTGCAAGGGGGGAGTCTCACGTGACAGGGATGAGGATTTGGGGGACGAGCAAGATGATGATGAGGAGGAGGAGGAGGAAATCATTCTCCCCGACAGCCAGGAACTGTTTATCACCCTGGAGCCAATACCCTCCCAACCCTCCCAAGGCAGGGTCCCGGACCGTGAAGCTGGAGAAGGCACCTCTGGTGAATGTACCTTTGTAAATATAATACATGGTTTAAAAGCAAGCGTGTTTAATGATTAATTTGCCCTGAAGACTTGGGATGCATTCACGGCCAGTACAGCTACTGGAAAAGTCTGTTAACGTGTCTGGGGATGGAGTGGAAATCCTCCAGAGACATCTCCATGAAGCTCTCCTGGAGGTACTCCCAAAGCCTTTGCAAAGGGTTTCTGGGGAGGGCAGCCTTATTGCGTCCTCCATGGTAGGACACTTTACCACTCCAGGCCAGAAGCACATAGTCTGGAATCATTGCATAACAAAGTATGGCAGCGTATGGTCCCAGTGTTTGCTGGCATTCAAGCAACATCCGTTCTTTATCTCTCTGTGTTATCCTCAGAAGAGTGATATCATTCATGGTGCCCTGGTTGAAATAGGGGAATTTTATTAAGGGGACATTCAGAGGTGGCCATTCCTGCTGGACTGTTTGCCTGTGGCTGAAAAAAAATCATCCCCGCTGTTAGCCAAGCGGTGGGGGGAGAGGCACATGCATCCGATGAAGTGAGCTGTAGCTCACGAAAGCTTATGCTCAAATAAATTTGTTACTCTCTAAGGTGCCACAAGTACTCCTTTTCTTTTTGCAAATACAGACTAACATGGCTGCTACTCTGAAACCTTTAAAAGTGTTTGTTGTGAAACCGGAAACATCCCACAGTCAGGAGAGAAGCAATGCCAAGTGTGAAATACTAGTATATTACAGGAGGTGTCATCTTCTGCCCAACACAAGAAGGTCTACAGATATCAGACAAGCCATTATGGATGAAAGCCTCTATTGATTACTTGCCCTCACACCCATGAAGAGGAGTTGGAGCCCAAACACTCATCCCATCAGTTTGAACTCTGGGGGAAGGGAATAACAATTCCTGGTCAAAACTTTCTCTCTCTGCTGCTTAGCGGGGGGGAGGGGGAGAGGGGGAATGGTTTAGACGCAAAGTGAGAGAGCCACAGCTTGGGCTAGTCCTAAAGGACACACAGTACAGAGCTTGCTTATCATAGAAGCTTCTATTACCTTTTGAAACTTATGATTGTAACTCGTTTGTGTATGTACTTTTGCCTGCTTTAACTTTTGAAATAACTCATATTTCCTTCTCTTAGCCAATAATTCCTTAGTTAATTTATTATAGGATTGGCTACAAATGTTGTCTTTGGTTTGAGATCTGACGTGCAATTGACCTGGGGTAAATAACTGGTCCTTTGGGATTGGGAGAAACCAGAATATTGTTAGGTTTCAGAGGAACAGCCGTGTTAGTCTGTATTCGCAAAAAGAAAAGGAGTACTTGTGGCACCTTAGAGACTAACCAATTTATTTGAGCATGAGCTTTCATGAGCTACAGCTCATTGTTGTGATTTTTGACACAAGGGACCATCTATCACAAAGGTAGGCTTGTCTGGGTGGCAAGACAGACTTAGGAGACTGTCTATAACTCCATAGTAAAGCTGTTATACTGCTTGAGGAGTTCACAGTTGATGGTTGATGAAATCAAATTGTAGAACATACAACCAGTTTGGGGTTTGTGCCCTGGTTTGTAACAGTCAGCCCTGAGGTCAGTACTCATGTTCCTGAGCTGCTCTTGACAGCCTAATTTACAATGGAAAGAGACTAATAAAGAAATAACAACACCTTCATTCAGGAGGTTATATACAATAGCCCTGCAGTTTAACACTGTAGAATGCCTTTCCAAATAATAAAAATATCTTCCTTTGTGTCCAAGTTTAAAATAGAGATTTCACAATGGCAGAAAATTGTGAGAGTGAATTTGCTACATGTAGCCTAAAGGATGGGGAAGAGTGGGGGAGCAAATTGTGACAGGTGTTTCCCCATTCATCACAACTTGCTACATCTGGACCAGAGGATGGGGAAAGGTAGAGGCAGCAGACTGTGACAGGGATAGCTCTCTCCATCACAACTTGTGACCTCTGGGCCAGGAATTGGGAAAGATAAAGGATAGGGAAAAGGGAAGAGGTAGCAAATTGTGATGAGACTTCCCCATCCATCAGAATTTACTCTCTCCCCTGAAGAGTAGGAAAGGCAGAGATAGGAAAACAGTGACAGGTGTACCGCCAGCCATCACAATTTGTTACCCCTGCACCAGGAATGGAGAAAGGTAAAAGAACCAAACTGTGATAGGCATACCCCGATTCATCACAACAAGCTACATCTGAATCAGAGGATAAAGAAAGGTCTGGACCACGGACAGGGGTGAGGGATTCTTCCTAAAGTGGGGAGACCACAAGACCCTGCTCCTTAATTCATGTGGTGGGGGTGGTACCGAAGAGTTCGGACTGTGTGAGGGGGTTCAGGGCTGGGGAAGAGGGCTGGAGTACAGAGGTGTGAGGGCTCCCGCTGTGGGTGCGGGCTCTGGGATGGGGCTGGAGATGAGGGGCTCAGGGCTGGGGCAGAGGGTTGGGGTGCAGGGGTTGAGGGCTCTGGGGTGGGGCCGGGATGAGGAGTTTGGGGTGCAGGAGGGTGCTCGGGGGCTACGGTGGGGAGAGAGGACTCCTCCCAGCACCTGGACTGTGAGGGGAAAGGTGCCTCTCCTCACTGTGGCAGCTCTGGGGTTGGGGCTGCAGGATAGATGTCCTTCCTCTGGCCCCAGCAGGTCTGGGCTGGGGGAGGGCCGTCGTGGCTGGGGCCAATCTGGCTGCATCAACCCAGCAGGTCTGGGTGACCTGTCTGCAGCTGGGTCTGGGCCGCTCCAGCCACGCTTGGGACTGGCCCGGGCTGTGCCACAGCAGAGTTGAGGCCAGGGGAGGGGCGCCCCTCCCCTGGACTGGGTAGGTTCCTTGAGCACCTGCACAGTGCTAAATAGGTTGCTGCATGGCTGCGTGCCCGAGCAGCTTACAGGGAACTTAGGCCAGGTCCGTGGTGAAAAGTGGACAGGCAAAGCCCATCCCCTTTCAAAAGTGGGAAGGCCATGGCCCTTTGGCCCCTCTGTTCCAGCACCCCTGAAGGGGATGGGCAAAGGTAGAGGTAGCAGATTGTGACAGGCATAACCCATAGCCATCACAACTTTCTTCCCCTGGACTAGGCGATAGGGAAAGGTAGAGGATGGAGAAAGGTGAGAGGTAGAAAATTGTGTTGGGAATGTCCTCATCCATCACAGTTTGTTATTTCTGGACCAGAAAGTGGGGAAAAGTGAGAGGTACCAAATTGTGGTGGGAATGCCTCCATCCATCACAATTTACTGCCCTGGGACTGTAGGATGGGGAAACGCAGAGGCAGCAAATTGTGACAGGGCAGCAAAAGGGAGAAATATGTTAATAGTACCTACCAGGAGCTACTAGCAAACAGTGCAGGCAAAGTTACACCGGCAGAGTGAGGAGCAGCAGGTTGCCCTGTGTGGGAAGAGGGGAGAACTGGAGGGTTTTTCCTACAGCCCAGTGATGGCTTAATTTGACCTTACAAATAACCAGAGGAACCTGGTGGCACAGCACTGAGAACCCCATGGCCCGAACTAAGGGAGCAACCCTCGCAGCTCAGGACAAGACTCGCAGACACTCGAGAGCCTGCTGTAGAGAAAGGAGACCCAGTGCCCGCCATCTCGCTAGGGCCCAGGAGGCGCCGAGCAGGGCGATCCCCGGGGTCACGCAGCCTGGCCGCAGGAAGCGAATTGCAGTCTCTGCAGTGACTCTGATACGGTGCAACCCACCTTCCTTGCAAGACCCCAGAGCCCTGGCTGCAGGCGGGGGAGGTTTCCTATCAAGGGAGGCACATTCCTGCTGCTCCCCGAGAGACTCTCCCAGTACAGACCCCAGCCTGTCCCGACCCCCCTACTGGGACCCAGAGCCCTGCTCCCAGGCAGTGCCCCCTGTGTACAGAAGGTGAGACCTGCCCCTCTTCCCCTCCCCAGGGAGCGATGATCCAGGTTGCAGCCTGACTGCAGAGGCAGGGGGATGCCCCAGGCTGCTCCCAGCTGGGCTGCCTGCGATTCCCTCACTGGACAGAGGAAAGCTGGCTGCCAGCTCCCATGGTTTGCAGGGTGTGTGAGGGACTGGGGCTAGGATAGCAACATCTGGGGAGCCAGAGGGCTGTGGGAGCCGGAAGGGGGCTCTGAGAGCCAAAAGGCATTGAGGACCGTGAACAGGGGTGTGTGAGGGGACAGGAGGTGGGTGAACAGGGATGCAGGAGGCGGGATGGGGTCATGGGGATGTGGGGCCACTGAAGGAAGGCTGAGGAGAAATTGGGGACAGCGGGAGAATTCTGGGGAACAGAGCTGGAATAGAGGGAAACTGAGGGGGGATAAAGGGAAGGAAAGGGGGGATGTGGGGAGAGGGGCTGTGGGGTGGCTGGAGGGAGAATATGAGAGCAAGTGGAGACTGACTGGGGAAGGGAGAGCCAGAGGGTAGGAGAAGGGAGGGGGATGGTGAGAGATAGGAATCTTTTCCCCTAGAAATAGTCAAACAAGCACTGGGTGTGGGTGAGCCTGGGACTTACCCCTAAGGGCTCAGAATTTACAAGGCAAATATCCCCCTCCCCACACACCCTCCTCACAATATATTACTTAAGACAATCTCATAATTTTGGGGGTCTGACTCCTGAATGTTAAATGTTTGGGGTTGACAGAACTGAACAGGGCCCTGCTCTGATTTCTGTGCAAGATTCTGTGTCAAACCAGAGTCACTGAGAGCAACAGCAGGCAAGGAGTCCAACTTATATTTACTTTGTTTTCTTTTTCTTTTCAGTTCAGGTTCAGTCAGTAAAACAAAATTATGGTTCAGGTTCGGTTCCAGTACAAGTACAAAATACGGTTTTGAACTGGGTTTGTGATTCCAGTGTGAGTCCAGGTGGGCAAATGAGATCAGCAGCAGCCTGGCTGTCCCTGGGGGCTGCAGGGGCAGCACAGGGAGGCTCAGTCATTAGCTGCCCCCACCAGAGGGATCTGGTAATTGCTAAGGCAGAGGAGGCTGGTGTCAGTCTTTGTGCTCAGGTTACTGGAGCCCTAGGACTAGCTGGGCTTCCTGGGGTAGATGCTGCTGCCTCCATTGTGATCTGGGAACATGCTGCTGCCCAGCGGGGTCTGTGCTGGGATAGACCATCACTAACATCCCCTCTATGCCCAGCCGAGGGGGGAACTTTCTCCTGTGACTGTCATCAGTGCTCTAGGTCAGCCCCGGGCTGTGCCACCAACAGCTCCTGAGCTGGAGACTCCAGGTGATGAGGGAGAACTTGGAGAAAGTGCTGGGGATGGCAGGAAAGTGACTCTGCACAAATGGCCCCTCCTCACTCCATCTCTACTCCCCATGTGTCTGTGAGTCCCAGAGCAGCTGCCCCAGGCACACCCAGGCTAACACCCTTGTTAGCAGTGGCAGTAGGTATTGGAGAGGAAATGCCCACAGGAATGGCAGGACAGTAACTGGTTCTTCCATGCAGAAGGGAGACAGGAGAGGCTGAATGGGGCAGCAGGAGCAATAAATGGGGGGGAAGGTTCCCAGCTCCCAGCCCCGCCCAGCTCTACTTCCTGCAGAACCCTAGGGCAGATTGACTTTCCTGGGACAATTTGAGGAGCAGAGAGAGGAAAAGCCATTTCCTGCCTGTGCCTAGTCCCTGTGCTGCTGGGGAAATGTCCTGTCCTAGGGACAGTGTTAGGGGGGATCCCCCAAAGTGGCTCATTTGATTCTGCTCTTTTCTAGAGTTTGGCTCAGAGACTCTGTTACTGCGAGGGTTTAAAAGTGTCTTGTGGGTTCAGTCCCGGTGGGAGCGATCAGGTCTGTGTTGTAATAACATAACTGAGGGTTTTCCCAGCATGGCAGAGTCTAGAGTGTCTGTCTGCAGGGAAAGAGCCTGGGGGGAATTGGGGTGTGAAATGGACTAACACTAATTCAAAAACCTCCACAATTGCCTTTCTCACCCTGACAGGCTGCAGAATAACGACCACGTTTTCCTCCAGATCATCCCATCTTCCTAGGGGCCAGGGAATGGAAATGGCTGTGGTGGATTCAGCTCAGGTAGGGGATGTTTGGGGGAGCTGCTGGGGAAGGTTCTTGTAGAGCAGGGAAGGGCAGGAAATACATAGAGTGAGCCAGGGACAGAGACAGGCTGTGTTGAACATGCTGGGACATGCTCAGCCTAGAGGCTGATTTATGAAAAGGCCCATTTGTGCTGGGAGGGGGGTGTAAATGAAAAGAACCTGCCCTCCTCTGTCTGCTGGGAGGAACAAAGAGCTCTTACATTGTCTCTGTTCCCTGGAGCCTCCTGGCCACTCTGAGCAGGGTGGGGGTGGGATTCTGCTCCTCTGGCCTTCCCAGAGCTGTCCTATTTTTATGCTTCTTCCCCCATGAATAGTGGGATTGTAGTTGAGGCAGCAGGTGCTGAGAAAGTAACATTTGTTGTTTCAGATGCCGGTGACCTTCGAGGAGGTGGCTGTGTATTTCACCGAGGGACAGGGGGCTCTGCTGGACCCCAGTCAGAGAGCCCTCTACAGGGACGTCATGCAGGAGAATTATGAGACTGTGACCTCGCTGGGTAGGGATTTCTTTCCCCTCAGCTATTTGAAGCCCAGGGGCTCTGTATTTCTGAATCTGGTCAGGTTCTTCCCTGGTCTGTGAGATTAGAGGGGAACGGGTCACATAGTCCAAGTGTGAGAAAGCCATCACCTCCATACCCCCTCCAACAGGATAGGGAAGTCATGAACCTAATGGACATGCTAATTCATTCCCATCCCTCCAGCTGCCGGGGGGGGGGGGGGGGGGCAGAAGCAGTGTATTATGCTATCTGCATTAATGCTCACTCACACACAGGATCTCTGTGCACCTCTCTTCATGCGACAAACTCTCTGTGTGGGGAGGGCTCTGTTCTCTGTGGGTTCAGTCATAGGCAGCGGTTTAACACCAGAGCTGTATGTGCCTCAGAAAGTCCCTCAGAGCACAGAGATCCTGAAAACTCCCCCCGCTCACCAAGATATTGGCCTCTCCTAAGGGGGCTCAGTGACTATGTTCCCATCCCATAACCTCCAGGAAAGTCATGGGTTGAGTTTAACCTCAAGAGTTTAACCTATTGTGAGAAATACTGCCCCAGTCCTCAGTGCACTCTGATCATGCCTTATTTCACCCTCTGAGCAGGACTCCACATTACCAAACCTGACCTGATTGCCCGGCTGGAAGGAGGAGAAGAGCCATGGGTCCCGGATCTCCAAGCCTCCAAGGAAAGGAAGATCCCAAGAGGGAGATGCACAGGTGAGGAGTCAGTGACACTGACACAGAAACTATATAGCAAATGAAGGAAAAAGTTTAAAATCCACAAAATGTGGTGTGAGCCCCCTCAATTCTGCCTCATCTCACCCAGGTCAGGCTGTGGTCAGCAGGTGTCATGTCATCATGGCAGATGTTGCTCATGGCTTCACACCCACCCTGTTGGTTGTCAGGAGTTTTCTCCTCATCTTCGCTTCCCTGCGAGTGTTTGGATGGGATGTGGAGGCAAAATCCAGTCTCTCATTCTTCCAATGGTTATTGTGTTGAGTTTTTCCTTTTTTGAATTCCCCTTTCTGTCCTTTCTGCCAGCCCAGGCAATGACTCCTGCCTGGATTCTCTCTCTCTTCCAGTAGGTGATGAGACAATGAGTGAGAACGAGGAGGGGAATCCACAGCAGGAAGATCCTGAGCAAGTGGAACTGCAGGGGACCTTTTTGAGAAGAGCTGAAGGGAATTTTTCCCAGTGCTTGGAACAGAGAAAAGGCAGGAATAATTGGCACAGGTCAGAAAGGAAGCTGGGAAACGGTCGAAGGAAGAAAGTGGATGAATCAATTGAATGTGGAAGAGGAGGAAAGGATTCCAAAGAAACCACAGCCCAGCAGACAAGTCACAAGGAAAAGAAGCCCTATAAATGCTTGGACTGTGGGAAAAGCTTCAGTTACCCCTCAGTCCTTATTAACCACGAGATAATCCACACAGGAGACAGACTTTATAAATGCCTTGAGTGTGGGAAAAGCTACAGTCAGCGCTCAGCCCTTATTACCCATGGGAGAATCCATACGGGGGAGAGACCCTATAAATGCTTGGACTGTGGGAAAAGCTTCAGTGTTAGCTCACATCTTATTACCCATCAGCGGGTACGCACAGGAGAGAGACCGTATAAATGCCTTGAGTGTGGGAAAAGCTTCAGTCGGAGCTCACATCTTATTACACATCAGAGACTGCACACAGGAGAGAGACCATATAAATGCTTCAACTGTGGGAAAAGCTTCAGTCAGCAGTCAGTCCTTATTAATCATGGGAGAATCCACGCTGGGGAGAGACCCTATAAATGCTTGGACTGTGGGAAAAGCTTCAGTCAGAGCTCACATCTTATTACTCATCAGAGAATGCACACGGGAGAGAGACCATATAAATGCTTTGAGTGTGGAAAAAGCTTCAATCATAGCTCCCATCTTATTAAACATCAGAGAGTGCACACAGAAGAGAGACCGTATAAATGCCGTGAATGTTGGAAAAGCTTCAGTGACAAATCAAAACTCATTACACATCAGAGAATCCACACAGGAGAGAAACCGCATAAATGCTTGGATGATGGGAAAAGTTTCAGTTCCAGCTCATACCTTCCTAAACAGTGGAGAATCCACACGGGACAGAATCTATAAATGTCCCTAAATCCTCTGAGGTGCTGGGTTACTGGAGATCAAATGTGAAGGGACCAGGAGGGATGGGTTATGGGGAGGAAACTGGGGGATTGAATGGTTGGGTCTGGTGGATGTGGGATGCAGAGGGTGCTGGGGAAATCAAGTGTTAGGGATCACGGGATAAGAGAGGAGAGTACAGGGAAGAGAGGTGCTGCCTCTTATCACTCACCCCCTCTGCCCCTTTTCCCTGCCCCCTCTACATTCAGAAAGCACCACTGAGAGGGACTGATTTCCACATTGTCTTTTGTGGGAGGCGTAAAGGCTTCAGGATCCCACCTCTGCCTGCACAGCATCAGCTTCTGAGGGTCTCTCTGTGATGGGAAACGTGGTTGGGATTAGCTAGCAAATCTCCCCCGACCCTCCCGCACTTTTCCTAGTCTAGACGGACCCCAACCATTTTATATATTCTGATCCCCCCATTAGCAGAGTGATTGTTAGAGTCACTGAGTTCCACAAAGTCTCACATTGCTCCAGGTTATGCCAAAAACATTTATTTTTTGTACACTGACTCCCTTTGAGACCAGATTTAAATAGATTCTAAAAGTCCTGGAGCAGGGTTAGGAAAATGTGGTGTTTGGATTCTGTGGTATTTGAGGATAATGGGATGAGTTGGAGGGATTCCCTCCTCCTCCCTTCATTGTCATGCTCCACCCTGACACAGCAGCCTCTGTCCGAGCCTTGGATAGTTTATCTTCTCCCCATTCTACTGTCCACCTCCCAGCACGGCACTTCCACCAGTGTTCTTTACTCTCCATGCTTAGGAATCACACTTTGATTTTTTTGATCCTGACTCAGACTCGTTCGGGCTAGAGATGAAAGTGTCCCAGACCTGGAGGTGATATTCAAATGAATCCCAAAGCTCTGTTTGAGCTTTCTGACCTTAAATCCCTGTTTCCATCTATTAATAAAGTGGCTTCTGGGCTTTTTCTAGCCAATCCCAGAACATTTGGAGATGGGCAGATTTTAGCTTTGGTTTGTTTTTGTTCCTTTTTTTTCTTTTTTGCATTAGGACAATGCTGAAACTTTTGTAAATGACACAACCAAATAATGAGGAGGTGCTGAGTACTGCAGGTTTAGCCAGTTCAGAGGAAAATGGATACATTTGTTTTCCTTCTTTTGGGAGTTATGATTCTGTGGGATTTCACTTTATGAACCTGAAAGTGTTTTGTAGCCCATCTTGTAGTGTTGACTTGTCTCTCTTCCTGATGGCTGTTTGGTCACATGCTTTGATATTAGTTTAGTTTGACAGGATGTAGCACAGTTTTACTGAGGACTTTACGAGACAAATGATCATTTGCCGGAAGGGTCCTTTTTTATTTTATTTTAACCTTTCTTTACCCTTTCTCAGGAGATTTTTGTGTGTTTGAACAATGAAAATTATCACTATCTCTCAGCACAAACACTAAGGGCGAGTGCTAGATTCACACTCGAAGAGGCCGAGGGGGCATGGAGTTACTTTCTGATCCCTGCAGAAACATGAGATGCAGTCAGGAGGGGGAGAGGGTGGGGAAACAGTGCTGGGAAACTGCAGACTTTTCTCGAGAGCCAGAGAGCTGATGCTGAGAACTGTAAACTTGCCGCGCCAATGACAGAGAGAGACAGGAATTGCCCTGTGAGTGCTGGGTGAAGCCATCCCTGAAATCTAAAGGGCTACAAATGATGCCCCAAGAGGAATGATGAGGGGACAGCATCACCTGATTGCTGAGAGGATGAGCCTGAACAAAGACAAGAAGGAATTTGGGGAAGCCAACATGTCTGAGCCAGCGTTGAAGCCAGACTGACCCCCATCATAGAGGCCAGAGGGAGATGAGGAGCCTGACAGCCCAGCTGGTCACCCCCTCCCCATCTAATAGTGTCCTGCATGGGGACCACAGAGACTGTCTGCCCCACTCACCCCACACTGTACCCCTCTAATCTCAGCTTCTTGGATTCCCTGCTCTCGGAGTGTTTGCTTTGTGACTGGGTCCCACCATCTCTCCTGGGTTCTCTGCACTTTTCTACCAGTTTGTAAACGTTGCTCGGTTGTTTGTGCTTGGAGGATTTGGGTGCAGCAATGTGCTGGACTGGGGATGTAAAGTACCGTGCTGAGCTAGGCTGGGGGTGGGGAAAGGAGTCTGTCTTTGTTCGTCCCTTGGAATAATAAAGTAGAATTTAGTTTCTCACACTCCCAAGTGAAGTTTGTCTTGCACTAAATATCCAGCAGATTCAGAGTGGAAATTAACAGTAAAAGCAGTGCTAACATGGTCTGGTATGGAAATGCACAGTGAGGTCAGACATAGAACCTCACCTCTGCCTTGTCATAGCCTCAACTGCAGCTGGTATACTCATCTATATAATATGGCTAAAGTGATTTTAATCTCGGAATTGTGTTTCAGCCCAAGACCCCAAGTCTGTCAACCTTTCCACCTGCCTAATTCTAACTCAGACCCATTTAAATCAATGGGGACAGTAGTAAAATTAAACATGCGAATAAGGTTTTGCAGGACTGGGAGTTTAGATTGGTAGGTTTGGGAGTCTCTCTCCGTTGATACTTGGCCTGCTCCTCCTACCACAACTTTCCCCAAATTCATTCTTGTCTGGCTACAAAATAATTGTATCTCAGTTAATACCATGATTATTTGTAATACAGCAGCAGGCAGATGCTCCACAGAAGACCAAGGCCCTATTGTGCTAGGTACTGTATATACACATAATGAGAGACAGCTCCTAAGGGAAAGAGCTTACAGTCTCAATATGCAGAACAGCCAACGTAATTATTTTGTAAATGGCAGGAGTGATCCTGAAATCTGAAGGGCTATGAGTGATGCCCCAAGAGGAATGATGAGGGGAGAGGGCAGCACCTCCCGAATGCTGAGAGAACAGGGCTCTGCACTTCAAACAGGTACAGTATTCACCTTCTGTTATGTGTGAAAAACACAGATTGTTCTTGCCCAGAATTAAGCACTTACTCCTAGAGTGCAGAACACATTTTTCTGAGAAAAGTCAATCTATTACTGGCTTTAGCAATAGTCATTAACAGTAGGTCGGTTAGCACCGAATGTCAGAGCCTGCCATGTAGTGATACCACTGAAAGCCCCATACTGTTCTGATTACGGTATTTTAATACTTTTGGGCCCAGATTATATTCAACTGATTTTTAAATCATTAAATTAGATTACCCATTAGATTTTGGGTAAGTTTTTCAAAAGTATCTTTTCCAAATGACGTAAGGTTGGGTTTTTAAAGGAATTAGGCACCTGAGGATGCAGATAGGGGCCTAGTGGGATTCTCAAAGCAGGTTAGCACCAGGGGCTAGAGGCACAAACAGATTTAAGTGCTCAGCTACTACTTTCACTTTAGGTACCTGAATCTGACATTTAGATGCCACCAATCCTCAACCACCCCCCACTCAGCTGTTGCCCAACTCAGAAGGTGTCTAAAGATCCTGTGCACCTAAATTTCTGTCATTTAAATTCCCCAAGTGCCAACAAATCTGATACTGGGCATGCTCACAGCTGCCTCAGGCTAGGCGCACAGATCCCTATTTCATACCTAAGCACCAGCACACTCCTCATACTAAGTTTTCCCTGGCCTATCTCACATGTGGCTGCCCCACTGCCCACTCAGGTTTGTCCCAGGCCTGTGCCCCATTTCTGGGGGGGGTGGAGGGGGTGTCAAATTTGATGTTGCAACCCACATGGCACAATGCCAGTGGCTCAGTTTTGGCTCCAGAGCCTCCCCTTCCATCCCCCGGTCATAACCATGGTGGGACATTCAGGCCCATCCAGAGTGTGCAGAGCACCAGCCCTAGAACCAGACTAGCTGGTGCTTCACTGCCAACATCCAGGTGCAGCATGGGAAGCTGTTATCAGTGCCTACATGGGGGAGCCATCCAGGAGAGGGGCAGGGGGCACTTGAGGGATTTTGCCTACAGCCCATTGATGGGTTAATCCAGTCCTACAAATAACCAGAGGAACCTGATGGCAAAGCACTGACAGCTACATGGCCCGAGTTAGGGGAACAGAGCTTGTAGCCAGTGAGCCTGGTGTAGAGACAAGAGACCATCAGCTTCCTGTGCCTGTTACCAGAGTGAATCACACACAGAATCAGTGTCACTGAGAAACTTGTCCCCTGTCACTTATCTAGGACTAGGACCCATCGCCCCCATGTCCAGCTGATACTGGGGACTGTCTCAAACAAGCCCAAGTCTTCACAGAAACCACCCCACTCCCCCATGCCAAATGCTCCCAAATGCCAAATCCACGTGAAACCCATGCAGTCCTGCCACCAGCTGCAGCGCAGAAGTAAGGATGCTAATACCATACCTTTGAGGAGAGAACAACTCTTACAAGCGACCACTTTTGCCAACTTCCATGAGTGGTCGCTCTTGGCAGGTTTTACTGTAATTTCTTAAATATTCAGCGGCTGAGGCCCCTCCTCTTGGTGATCTCCTGAACCACTTCCTCTGCTTTGCCTTCCAGGTGCTTGGACATGTTCTTGCCTAGGGGAGAGCAGGGGATGGGGTCGCCAGAGCCATGCCCAGTGCAGTCACTCACTTCAGTCCCCAGCAGCAGCCATAGAGCCACCGCCAACTGCGCCATGTTTAAAGGTCTCAGTGCAACGAGGGAAGCCCAGGCAGCCCAGCCCCTTTGGGGCCCAGCCCAGTGCATACCCCACATGGGGGAGGAGCGCAGAGACCCCCGCTGCCGAGCACACGCTTCACCCAGGGGAGGACAGGGCAGCAGTAGAGGGGACAAGCCAGCCTGGGCTGAGGGAGCAGGTCTGATCCCCAAAATATGCCCCCAAACCATCCAATCACACTGTGCCTATCCAAAAACATCCACCCATGGCTCCTCCATACACCCCCACGGCACATCCACCCACACCTATACACTCCCAATTCACACCCACCAGAACCCATAGCTCTAAATAGACCTATTACCTCCCCCTCCACCCCAAGTCACATTCACCCTCTGTGTAGCCCCCATTCCCCACGAGAATCCTGGTTCCATTCATACCCCTCCACTCCAGCACCCCTCGTACCCCATGTCCCTCTGCCAACCCATCCACCCCGTCCCCTCCCCTCTGCCCCTAAAAGAACTCAATACATCCTAGACACACATCTCAGCCTATCATATAGCTCAGAACCCTGGGCCTCCATAGGCACCCAGACTACAGCCCCTACGCATGTACCCTGCCCATATCCAATCCCCCCCCCCCCCCCCCACTGACTCACAGAGCTTCCACAACCCCTTGGACCCTCCATAACTTACTCTCCCCCCACCTGTCAGGGCAGGTATGGTTAGCCATGGCCCTGAGAGCGGAGCCAAACACGGCTCAAAGACGTCCTGGCAGGAGACTCAGTGTAGCCAACTGCTCCAACGGGATGCACTGACCCTCCCTCCGCTGCCTGATTGGTGCTCCCACTTGTCTATTGCACCTCCCCAGTCTCTGATTGGTGTGCAAGGGAACTTCCCACCTCCCCCTATTGCACTTGAGCCATCCAAGTCAGAGTGGCTTCCTCCCAGGAAGGGTGTTTAAATGTGCGTCCGCTGGTTGCTGATTGGCCCGTGCAAAGAGCAACTGGTGCTGTGATTAGAGGCCAGACCAGGAGCTACCCTCCTTGCTAGGCTGTGCCATGTGTGTGAGAGTCCTGGATCCCTTGCCATATCCTCAGGTATTCCTCAGCCTCTGTGCAGGAGGTTGAAGTAGGTTGTAGATACCCACTGCCAGCAGCCACCGCCCTCTCCCCTCTGCCTTCAAAGATGGGTGGCCGGAAAGGGGTGACTGCTTTGACCTTTGCACTGGGAGGGATGGCTATGGGGGGCTAAGGCAAATTGTGGGGTGGCTACACCTCCCCAATGCTGCCCAT